TTAATAAAAGCAATTAATAATGAAGGATGAGTTATTCATTAATATTGTGTTTGTTCATTTCATGGATATTTGTTTGGTACCTACAACTCAATGCTCACTTAGGACAGAATACTGTATGGAAATTTGATGAGTATGAGTGAAATAAGCTATTTAACAAAACACACAAATTAATTTCTACACAATGAATTTATTTTCTTTTTTTTTATACAAAGTTGTTAGTATTGAGCTAAAATGTTATCAATAGTGGCAGACAATATGATCAGGTAGGAGTGTGGGAAACAGTGGCTGTAGTATCAGTGTGTTTTTGTTGAGAAAACCTGGAAGTTTCAATTTCCTCTTATTCTCTCTTTCACTTGATGTCTGAATTACTCTCTCTTATCACAAACTTCTTGTGATAAATTATAAAAATTATTAAACTTTCTGGTATGGGCCACCTTTCCTATATAAGTGTGGCTACAAGACCTCATCACTGAAGCTTTACAGCAAGTGGAAACCATCACAGAAAAACCACAACTGGACATGATGCAGTGATCAACGGACCATGGGGATTCCTGCCCCAGTAGACACATCTGCATCCTCACTACTGCGTCTATGACTCAGGGACATCACAGAAGAGGAGACAGAAAGACTATAAGAGCCAGAATACCAGGAAGTCTGCTGTGGAACAGATGCCTAGAAATGCTACATCAATAAGACCAGAACAATGGCAACATCAATAGACATGCTAATATGGAAGGGGGAAATGTCATGGGGTCCTTCCCCTAACAAAGAACTATAGCATCTACCAACTGCTGGGAGAAGAATTCGCCTTTTCCAGGGATGAGCACCCTTGCCAGCTATCCAGTGCAGAGTGGTCAGCCTTGAAACCATCTACACACAAACAACAAAAATGGACTCAGCAGGTTACCTCTATATATATTTGTGCAGACACATACATAAATGTATGCAACAAATATAATCAAAGAAAAAGATACTATCAATTTGACAGAGAGGGTATGAGATGGGTTTGAGGGAGGGAAGTGGGGAATGATATAATTCTATTTCAATCAAACGTTTTTAATTTAAAAAAATGTAAAAAATATTAAACTTTCTTAAATTAAAAAAAATCAACAAGCTGGGGAGTGGTGGCGCAAGCCTTTAATCCCAGCACTCGGGAGGCAGACCCAGGCAGATCTCTGTGAGCTCGAGGCCAGCCTGGGCTACAGAGTGAGTTCCAGGAAAGGCACAAAGCTACACAGAGAAACCCTGTCTCGAAAACAAAACAAAACAAAACAAAAATCAACAAATATGTTGAAGTAATACTTAACAGCATTGTTTCATATCTAAAATAAATACATGCTCTGAAAGAGTATAAAATCATTAATCTATCACATACATTTTGCTATTGTAGTGTGATAAAAAGATTTTCAAACTGAATGGAAACAGTTGGGAAACCTCCTTGACTTTTAAATTGCTGTATAAATGTCTGCATAAAATGATTTCTTCCTTTGTAATCATTTTGAAGAGAAATAGTCACCATCTTTGGAAACATTTTTTAAAAGGACATTCTACATAACTTAGTTAACAGCCCTTGAATTTCAGGAAGCTGTGGGACTTGAAAGTAAACTCTGGCTGCTTTCGTGTTCCAGGTCCCATCTAGAAGCAGCCAGTACCTGAAAGCATGAAGAAGTTAGTTGGCTTGCCAATCTTCTCCATACAATCTGAGCACTTCTTGCTTCCTAGAGGCTCCAAACATATCAATAAAGTGTTTGCAGAATCTAGCTAGGTGATGAACCCTCGAACCTGGGGAAGTTGTTGAATTGAGGTGGTGATCCATTATAGAATTTCCAGACCCTGCAAGCAGTATTAAGATAAAAGGGTGCATGGTTACTGAACTCTCTAAGTTGAGGTGACTATTTGGTTGAAACATTAAGCCATTTACCTCAGAATAACTTGAGTTTAGAGATGTTAGTAGAAGCTGAATAGTATTCCTTTTCCTGCCCAACCATGTGTTCAATACTTTGGCGACAACTCTCAGGTAGGACCACAAGCACAGAGCAGACCTCTCCCACTCGCTTAATTGTGCATGTTCGTGTTGAAGTGGAACAACCCTTGCACAACTCGGGAAGGTTTTTCCCACTGTTTTACACCAGTCGGTGTCTTATTATCCGACTGGCTACAACAGTGGCTTATATTAATATTACTATTATTTTTCTAAATTAATAGGTCTGGCTAAGGGTGTGCTCAACAGGAACGTGTTAAACTTGTTTTTTCTCTGTGTGGGTGCACCCTGCTCACAGAGCTTTACACTCTACCTGTTCTCTCTCTTGAGCAACTATTAGTCACAGAAAACAGTCTGGAAGATGAAGGGTCTCAAAGAGCTTAGAAGTACAGAAGCATTAAGAAGCTAAGCCAAATTTTTCTCAGTCTCACAGTATTGTGGCATTAAAGACCAGAGGCTTGCTTGGTGACATTTAAGGAAGTTGGGGGTAATTTTCATCAGGGCTCACTGCCATACATTTGAAAATAAATTATGCTTAAGTCATGTTGACCCATCTCTGGATTGCAGAGTTCTTTCCTCCAAAATGAATTGTTTTGTTAGAAGAACTAGGACTGCTCCTAGCCATAGCAATATGAGAGTCCAGGAAATAAGTGCCCATAATAAACACATTTTCTTCTAAATTTCAGAGAAAAGAAACATTAGAATTGTGTTAATTAATGTGGCTCTTAATACAATAATTAATTACCTGGTGGTTTTTTTTTTTTTGCATGCTGAAAATTTTGGTTTGGCATAATAGCAAGTTGTTGCTTTTATACACACTAATGAGTTTGTACTACCCAGTATGCATTCTGTATATCTGAAAAGGAAATAAGTTTGGGTTTGAGAACAAGTATTAATGTAGTGCTGCCACATTACAAAAGACACTTAGGGACTTGATGCAACAAGAAAGACTAGTCCACTGCTGACTGAAGTCTATTGATTCTTGTCATGCATGCTTCCACATTTGGTCCATCTCTCACTTCATTATTTCATTGATATGGCACTTTGACTTTGAAAAGTATAACTCAGACACAGGGAGGCTAATATCAGTGTTACCTAACAATGATCAGAATGATGAACTCACCGTGTGTGTGGGCATCCTCAAAGGAACTAAGACTTCTATTAGCTTTACAGTTATCCAAGGGAACCACAACTAATAGCTAAAATTGTGGACAAAATTTAAACACAGAAGCAGAGCTTTATTGTTTTTCTTAAGTGGAAAACGTTTCTGCTCAATTTGCTAATCCTCTTGATTTTTAAAAATGCTTTAATTTAACTTTTGACAAAGTTATACAGTGTATTTTGATGGTATTCTTTCCTCTCCCTTAGCTCCTTCCAGATGTTTCCCCATGTCTACATACCCAAATTCATGTTCTTTTTCTCTAATAATAATAATAATAGTATTAGTAATAATAAATAAAAATAAACCCAAAACAAAATGAGACTGAACAAACTAACAAACCATGGAGTCTGATTTATGTGGGCCAACTACACCTGAGCATGGGCCTGCCCTGGGGTGAGGTTGATATATGCAGGGTCACTCCATTGAATAAATGGATTTTCCTTCTCCCAGTAGCTATCCATTCCAAAAAGGTTCTTCGAGGGAGTGGGGATAAGACTCTTGATTTTAAGATTGTGGGAAAATGGGGAAGACCTTGTTTTTAGGAAATTTTTATTGCCATTCACGTTATGGTAATTTTTCTAGTATCTACCTTTTCTCCTTTAGTTCAAGAATAACAGATAACTGCAGGGTTAGCTTAAAGCCTTTCCTGTTCTACTTATAAAATCCATCTGTCTGAAAAGTTAGACATGTGATTGACTAAAAATGTGTTTTAATCAGGCAGTGGTAGAGCACGCCGTTAATCCCAGCACTCTGGAGATAGAGGTAGGTGGATCTCTGTGAGTTCAAGGCCAGCCTGGTCTACAGAGTGATTTCCAGGACAACCAGAGTTTCACAGAGAAACTCTGTCTTGAAAAACCAATAAACAAGCAAACAAACAAACAAATAAATGTTTTATATTTAACAGGAAATACTGTATTGTTACCACAATTTATTGTATTAAGATGATTATATCATTTCAAAAATTTACAAGAAAGTGTCAACATGAGTGTTTCTTGTGAATAAGGCATGAAATCAGAATAACTTCCATCATAAAAACTGTGAAAACCCTTAAACTGCTCTAACTAGCAATATACTTCATTGTATGAGCTGATCTTAGGCAGTGTCACCCATGTCTGGTACCAGGCTGGGGCCTCATTTGTAGACTATGTCAGCGTGGGTTCAGATCCCGCTCCAATCACTTCCCACCTGTCGACTGTGTCGTTTAACTTTTCTGTTTCTCAGGTTCTTACTAGAAAACAGAGCAAATACCCATGCTTCCTTGACAACCAAAAGGATTGTGTAATTTATCACGTTCTCCAGACTCGAGCAAGTGCTGAGCAAAATATTATTATTGCAGTGCAGAAATATATATAATGCATGAAATTAATGAAAGTCACACACACAATTTTAAGTTCTGTTGTTTTTAAACACGTAGTTGAGTTAGTGGGAATTAATTTTGTGTATGTACTATTCTGTACCTTCAGTTATTTTTTTCTATTGTGATGACTTAATTTCGGTTCTCTCTCTCTCTCTCTCTCTCTCTCTCTCTCTCTCTCTCTCTCTCTCTGTGTCTGTCTCTGTCTGACTGTCTGTCTGTCTCTCTCTCTTTCTGTGTGTGTGTGTGTGTGTGTGTGTGTTGTGTATGCCCTGGATCAGAGTGGAAAGGGTCAAAGTGAAAAAGTATTTCTTGAGATGGGCTATAGTGAAAAAGAAAAGGACTGAAGGCTGCTGTCCTAGAGAACCCCAGCTCCTCCAGGAGCGTCTCTAGAGGGACTGAGCGCTGTCTCAGTGCTTTCCACCCTCTGGTGAATAATGAGCAGTAAAACTTGCTCCAGGGGTGGGGAGGGCAGTAACTAGCTTGGGAGGGCAGGTACTCACCTCTGGGTGTGGACTGGGTGTAGGTGGGGGCGGTGGGTGGAGAAAGATGGCAGGGTGGGGCTGGAGAAGATCCCAGAACAAGCAGCAGCCTGCTTTCAGACTCTGGGCTGGGCTTGGGATTTACTGAGGCCTGAGGAGACTTTGCTGAGATTAGGCATGTTTGGGCTTTACAAGGATAGGATGGAGGCTGAGAGAAAGGAGAAAAACACATGAAAGTTTGCCAAAACTTGCATGGGATAGGATGCAGTTCCCAGGAGGGTGCTGTTGAAAACTTGGTAGGGAAAAGACAGAGGGAGAGACAGGGCTGGGCAAACAGTGAGACTGAAGGGATGAGTAAGGAAAGGTTGGCACCACCTGAATAAAACTGTGGACGCTCCAGACTCCCCATGACTCAAGAAAAAGCATTAGACTGGGCTCCTAAAGCCAGTTAAGAGCTGAATGGAGCAATGGCCGCCAATGCTATGATTTGCACTGGGTCCAGGGAGGGAGGACAGAAGGCTGTTGCTGCCCTGCAATAGCAAAGTCTGAACTTGATTTCTGTAGCTGATGGTGAGTTGGGTCTAATTGTAGAGTTCATAGTGAACAGAAGCCCAAGTGTAATGTTCTGATTTCTGGTAGGATCTGTTTAGGACCTTCTCCGAGGAGATATTGAGTCACATCGGAAGCTAGCTAAGGATTTATGTTATCTACTTATTAAAAATGACAAACTGGGGCTAGCAAGATGGCTCACTGAACAATAAACAAACAAACAAATAAATGTAAAGAAAATTATAAACTGTAAAAGATCGGTGAATTGTGATTTCTGGGTGAAAGGGCTGAGCAAAGAGTTCTGAGACTTTCATTATAATGGGTCTCTTCAGATGTAGAGAGTACCCCAGATTACCACAAAGACCACCCTTTTAGCACTCTGTCCAATGATGTCTAGGATTTCTTAGAGGACTTCATGCAAGTGTTCATGAGCAGAGCTGGTCGGAATCTATGTGTTGGTGTAGATGGCCCTTCCCCAGACACTGGTCCTTCTTCACTTGGGGAAATAGACCAAGATACAGCCATCTGAGGTGACCCTGTTTTATTGTATAAAGGATCTCAAATTATCAATGTGTTATAATAGCTTTTAAAAATGGTTATGGCCAAGTGCAGTTATCCATGCCTTTACTTCCAGCACTTGAGAGACAGAGGCTGATGGATCTCTGTGAGTCTGAGGCCAGCCTGGTCTACATAGAGAAGCCAGCTAGGGCTATGCAGTAAGATCCTGTCTTGTGTAAATAAATAAATAATTTTTTAAATGAAGAGTTTTGAGCACTGTCTACCCAAATCTCAGGCGTAAGTGGATCAGGAGGTGCTCTGCTGATGAACAATGCTGTGTGCTATGTGGTCTTCATCCTCTCAGAATCCAGACTCTGCTGCTGGACCCAGCTCTGCCTGTCTCTTAGGATGAGGCCTCTGCATGGCTTCACAGCCATATGTTGGTTACTTGACCTCTTGATTATATCTTTACCCTAATTTAAAAAATATTAGAAAGCTTCAAAGTTTCAGAGCTAGAGGGGAAGCAAAAAGTATTGATTATTTCATTTTAGAGATTCTAAAGTAGTTTTTGCTTTCACAGAGAGCTCTTTTGGTGCTCACAAGGAATAAATAAGCACATAAAATGTATTCTCTCTGTGTGTGCTAAGATGTAAGAGCTGTTTGTTGACTTGTGAGGTGTAAGAACGTGCATACCAGAAAGCCTCCCTTTCTGCTGTCCAGATGTGTACCTCTGGGCTCAGTGAGGATGGGGTGATTGGCCAGGATTGACATGCATACGAGGCACTGATTAGATACATGAGAGAGAAGCCTGTGAAAAAAAATTACTCGATGAAACAGAAATTGTTTAGATCTCTACCCCATTTTTAATTGGACTATTTGGTTTGTTGATGTCTAGTTTCTTAAGTTCTTTATATATTCTAGAAGTCAGCCCTCTGTCAAATGTGGGGTTGGTGAAGGTCTTTTCCCATTCTGAAGGCTGTTGTTTTGTCATATTGATGGGGTCCTTTGCCTTACAGAAACTTTTCAGTTTCATGAGGTCTCATTTATTAATTGTCAGCCTTAGTGCCTGCGCTATTGGTGTCCTGTTCAGGAAGTTGTCTCTTATGCCAATGTGTTCAAGGCTACCCCCCACTTTCTCTTTTATCAGACTCAGTGTAACTGGATTTATGTTGAGGTCTTTGATCCGCTTGGACTTGAGTTTTGTACAGGGTGATAGATATGGATGTATTTGGGTTCTTATATATGCCAACATTAAGTTAGACCACACCATGTGTTGAAGATGCTTTCCTCTATCCATTGTATAATTTTAGCTTCTTTGTCAAAACTAGGTATGTGCATCTCAGATGGTTTCTCCTCTATGCAGTGTTTCCTGATTCTCTGAGGAAGTGGGTCATGGTACCCAACACATCCTGCTGTTTGGTTAACTGCTAATCTGTCATTCATACTGGACTGCATTCACTTTTCTTAACACCTTAACTAAGCTTACACACACACACACACACACACACACACACACACACACGAGAGAGAGAGAGAGAGAGAGAGAGAGAGAGAGAGAGAGAGAGAGAGAGAGAGAGATCAAAGCAGAAAGAAACTAAAGAACTCTGGAAAACCACCTTCATTTATTTAGAAGTGGTAAATTTGAAATTTTCATTCTAAATCCATGGAACTATAAAACATATCTGTGAATGTATAAATGAGCATGGTATTCCAAATATAGGATAAACTTTGATACTTTGTAAATTTTGGGTAATTAAAGGAAGTAGGACCATAAAATCTTGCAGTTGTAAAGGAACTCCGGGGTCGTTAAATCAAGGTCCACTCTCTGGCTCTCTGTATGCAGAGGACCCAGAGAAGAGAAATTACTATCTTATCTTGGCATCAAAATTGAGAGAGTGTATGCCAGGCATTAGTGGCACATTTCTTTAATCCCAGCACTCAGGAACTCTGTGAGTTTGAGGCCAGCCTGGTCTACAGAGCGAGATCCAGGACAGGCACCAAAAACTACACATATCCCCAGAACAGTCCAAGTGCTTGCTGCTAGTTATAAGAGAAGACCAAGACAAAAATGTCATCTGTTCTCTTGTACTGCAGACTTAGAGAGTAGTACAGCATGTGAAACCCATAGTTGAAGGCTTTATACTACATACAAATTTATAAGGACAATGAATGCCTGTAATTCCAATATGGGAAGATAGAGGCTGGAAGATCAGGGGTTCAAGGTCTTCCTCAGGCACACAAAATGTTCAAGGGCAGACACCCTGTCTAAAATCAACATCAATAACCACAGCAGCAGTAACATCAATAACAGAGACTAAATCTTACAGAACATCTGCAAGGCAGGCCAAGAAGTTATACAAGTGAGCAAACCATTGGCCACTTGTTGTCAGAGTTGTTAGAGTCCAGACCTATTTACCACTGAAGGGCTCAAGCTTATTGCTTCTTCTAAGACAAACTAATTTTAGATTTTGAGATAATACCATACATAAAGTTGCAATTGTATGATAAGTGTGGAAGCCAAGCTGGAGACTTAAAAGTGGACTTAAAAGCAATGCATTATGCAAACTCTGAAGTGGAATGAAGGCAATCATTTTCACGACTATTCATTGAGCATATGATCATCAGTTCCCACCATGTGCAAAGCACCATTGCAGGCACTTGGGACATAAGTAAAATATTCCTGCATCCCTGAGTTAATGGTGAGTATGGGCTTGTGGGGGGAAGCAGACAAGGATAATAAAATGAAGAGCTTGACAGGTAGGAATGTGTGAATCACTTTGGGAAAAAAATAAATTGAGGAAGGGGAATATAAAAGTGGAACTCCTTGTGGTTAAATAAGGGGATTAAGTTAAGTTTTATCGAGCCCATGATTGTTGAGCGCAACTTTGGATAAAAATGGGGCTGTCTAGTTATCCGGGGGAAGGGTATTTTAACTGGAGGAAAGAGCCAAACAATTATCGTTGCTCTTTTCTCTTTGTTTAAGACAATATCTCCAATAGCCCAGGTTAGCTTCCAACCTCCTATGTAGCCTCCACCACCCGGTCCTAGGATTACAGGCGCATACCATTACACTTGTTTTATGAGGTCTTGGGGAGTAAACCCAGGGCTTCATGAATGCTAGGCAAGCAATTTCTCAATTGAACTACGTCCATGGCACCTAATGAAAATATCTTAAAGAAGCAAGTCTTTAGAGTTTAGAGGAAGGGGATGACGTCAGGAAGCCAAAGGCAGGGGTGTGACAGATGATGTTGGGGACTTTGCAAAATCATCGAGAAGGAACTCAAAAATTTCAATGAACCTGAGATAATATCGTCGAGTCCTAACAGAGAGAAGATGTGATTTGGCTGCCATGTTCAGAGGATCCTTATAGCCACAGTGTGTAATACAGACTCTAGTGATAAACAGAGTAACAGACATAGGAGCCGTGAGGCTACTGATGTAATTCAAGAGAATCATCTCAGTTGAAGCATTATTTACCAGAGCAATGCAGGTGGGAGCAAGCTGTCCAGAATACCTGCCGGAAGTGGGGCCGAGAGGACTTGCTAAGGAGGAATCTGTGGTGTTGTCACTTTTCTTGGTGAGATGGAGTTGTAAATAAAAATATATCATTTCAATGGGGAAAAAACTACAGATGCTGTAGTTTCATGACAAACGAGTACATATGTAAAGAATTCAGTTGAAATGTTAAGCTTCATATTCTGATGAAGTTTCTAAGAGAAGATGTCGATTTCTCAGTTGGATAGACCAATTTGAACTCAGAAAGGAAGACCTGGCTGGATATAAAACACTGGTAGTTATTGTTGCCTACATGATTTTTCAGACCATGAGTTAAGAGGAGAACACCAATACAGTGTAGGGAGAAAGAAGAGAAACAGGACAACAAACAAACAAAAAACCTAAGAGTTCAGGAAGGAGAGGCAGAGCTGGCCAATGAGTGTAGAAACTGGTGAACAGTGAGGAGGAAACAGGAAGTGTGCACACTGGGACCAAATGTTTCCTATATTGAACACTGTTGCATTATGCTGAGCATGAGGAATTGACTATTAGTTGGTTTCAGTTTCTGAGAAACTGAGGAATGGAAAGCTGGCTAGAGAAGGGCTTAATGGAAAACAGGATTGAGAGTGAATACAGAGAACTAACTCTTCCTGCAGCTTTGCCTAA